TCACTATAAATAAAGTCAGGAAAAAATTAATACGATTTTTGGAAAATTCTGTCTTTTCCGTCTCTCTCTGGAAGTTATATCCAATGGTGAGAGTCAAATTTGAAGCACCCGGTATATACTTCCAAGTTTTTGTATGCGATGGATATATATGTTTTGACGAAGTATGAATGGAAATCATCCATTTGTTGCTGCGAAAACATCTATAAAATTTACAGGATCATCACAAATTATTTTAATTTAAAAAACATGATCATGAGGAGACTTAAATACGGTGGTCCAAAGAATTTGAACAAAACGCATGGTTCCATTTCAGAAATATTTGATCCCTGATTTCCGTCATAATGCTGTTTTCCCGCATTATTTCATTACACGTAAGAAAATGATTCTAAAAATGACTGAAAAATTGGATATTGGACAACAAAAAAACATTGCAGTTTAAAACAAGTTCAGTGGCCAGCCGTGAAAAATTGCTAAAAACGAATAAAAAACACTTAACTCATTGAAGATTCCCGAAGCTTCGGACGGGGTTTCGAAAATATGATTAAAGTTGAAAGAGGATATATTTCGCTGTTGCTGAAAAAGGTTGAGTCATCTAAAAATAAACTTTTATTTTCATAAATATAATGTGGTAAAAGCTGATAAACAATTTCTTGAACAAGAAAATTAACAACGATTAACAGAGTTTATTACCAAACACAACCTGAAGTACAGCGTCCAATTTCAACGACATTGCCGTGACATTGGCCAACAAGATGACAGTAAAAAAAATCACTAGTCGGTCCAAATAGTTTCCGAAAATATAATGGACGTTAGCAAGAGCAAAAATTTCATTGTTCCTGAAAAACGTTTTATCAGTATAAACTTTTATTATGTTTTGATAGATATTATGTGGTGACTGATATCGGATCAATAATTTCATGCACAGTAAGATTAAAAACGATTAACAGCGTTTACTTTCAAACAAACCCAAGGGCGGATTTAGGAAGCGGTCGGGGGGAAGAGGAAATTAGTACTTGAAGATCGGGGGAGGCGTGACGGTTGTATGGTTGAATACTTTGGCAACGCTTCTGAGAGCGAGTGCGGGACACATCTCACGATTTAAGTCTAGCAAAGGTAATTTTTGACACTGAGATATAGCAATATACAGGGTGTTCAGTTTATTGTTGCATAACTTTAAGATTCGATAGAACTTTTAAAATTAGTGCATAAAGTCTATATAAACATGGGTCGAAAAATGCGTAGCTTCCGAAATACAGGGTGTTTAAATTTACTTTCTAAAATAGTTTTTTTAAATATTTCGAACAATATTTGATGTATAACAGTGAAAATTGGTATACAAGGGTTTTTTGGTACGATAAAACGAACCATGGGCATAGTTTTACTGTATCCGCTAGAGGGCGCTCTCTACTGTACCTGTAGTGAATTAAAATGACCGAAAATTTTTTCTTAGTACAACTTTTTGCTTTTTGAATAAAAAAACTGATTATTCGCACTTTTCAACATAAAAAAGCTCTCTTGTGAATTTTCGTTATAGTTAGCCGTTTTTGAGATATTTCGATTTTTAAGGTTCGATGCATTTTTAATTATTTATGATAAAATAACGTTAAAAAGTCAGTATCTCGATAATTTACGTTTTTTTGAAATTGTGAATGCACGAAATTTAGTTTCTTTTACCTGTTTTTTTTGTAAGTTTTATAAAAATGCCATTTTTATTCTCCAATCAAGAGATTTCCAAACAGACGACATCCAACTCGCTCAGTATTTGTAAGAGTGCATCGACAAATAATTGAAAATGGTTTTGGAAATCTCCAAAGGGATCAAAACATAAATGTTCGTCAGCGCAGATTTACCCGTATGATTCTGCGTGAGTTTGATAGAGATCCGATCACAAGTGTTAGGAGAGTTTCTGGTGCCTTGGGAATTTCAGCAAGCCATGTTCACCGTGTTCTTAGAAATGAGCATAGACGTCCTTACCATTTGCAACCTGTGCAAGGACTACTGCCAGGGGACGGAGAACGATGAATCACATTTTGTCAGTGGATTCTTGATAGAACTGATAATAATAGGGAGTTTTTAAGTAACGTTTTATGGACCGATGAGTCATGCTTCACTAGACGTGGAGTGGTAAAATTTTATAATCAACATATTTGGTCGCATGAAAATCCGCATGCAGTTCGGGAAAGCAATTTTCAGCATGAATTTAGTGTGAACGTGTGGACTGGTATCTACCGTAATCGACTATTTGGACCCTACCTTTTGCCTGCAAGGTTAAATGCTGCGACCTTCTTGGAATTTTTAAAGGCTGATCACGCAAATATGTGGGATGATGTTATGTTAGATTTAAGAAGATTGGCCTGGTTCCAGCTTGATGGTTGTCCAGCTCATTATTCGAGAATAGTTAGAAACTGGCTGGACGAAAATTATCCAGAAAGATGGATCGGCCGTGGAGGACCAGTCGCCTGGCCTCCACGATCCCCTGACCTAAATCCATCAGATGTATTTGTGTGGGGATTTCTAAAAGAAAAAGTGTACTAGGCTCCCGTAACCACAAGAGATATGCTAATAGACAGAATCAGGAATGCATGTGATGAAATAAGGCCTTATTTGAATAATGCTATACAACGTTCGATCATTCGTAGATGTGAATTGTGTATTGAACAATTGGGTTTACATTTTGAGCAACTACTTTAGATTTTGTATGTTTGTCCTAACTATCCAATAGCATTTTAGTTGTAAATAATTAATTTAATTTGTTAAAAATAATATTGGAAAATTAAACAAATTAATAATCTGTTTTTTTGTGTTTATTTGGAGTTAGGAATTATTGCTGTGTTTAAAAACACAATCTAAACGATCATCTTAATTACTTGTAATGCCCAAATCGAAAATGTAAAAAAAATATTATTTTCCCATAAATACTCGTAATTAAAAATGCATCGAACCTTAAAACTAGAAATATCTCAAAAACGGCTAACTATAACGAAAACTCACAGGAGAGCTTTTTTATGTTGAAAAGTGCGAAGAATCAGTTTTTTTATTCAAAAAGCAAAAAATTGCACTTTCGGTCATTTTAATACACTACAGGTACAGTAGAGAGCGCCCTCTAGCGGCTACAGTAAAACTATGCCCATGGTTCGTTTTGTCGTACCAAAAAACCCTTGTATACCAATTTTCACTGTTATACATCAAATATCGTTCGAGATATTTAAAAAAAAACTATTTTAGAAAGTAAATTTAAACACCCTGTATTTCGGAAGCCACGGATTTTTCGACCCATGTTTATATAGACTTTATGCATTAATTTTAAGAATTCTATCGAATCTTAAAGTTATGCAACAATAAACTGAAACACCCTGTATATAAATGATAGTCTTGCTCCCCTCTAAATTCGTCAATGAACAAACTGTACAAGCACGTGAATTTAAAAAAACCGTGAGTACAGCAAGAAACGCAGCCGTTTGCTCCACTTGTCCAAAATATAATCAAAGGTAGGAAGAACATAATTTTCATTGTTGCTGATAAACGTTTATTCACCTATAATGTGTTTAAGCTTGAGGTACAAAAGTATATTGAAGCAATTTGTCAGACGAAACCAAACAGGAATAGAAAAGATTTTCACAAAAATTCCAAAAATAAGACTGGACTAAGGACTCTCTTCTACTTAAGTTGAAATTATACAATGTTGGGTAAATGCCACTTTACCGGGTAGCCAAAGTGGAAATAAAAAATGGACTACCCTATTGCAGGTATAACCTTCTGTTTTCATATAAATGTGCTGATCGTCAGGGATCTAAGATGATGCAAACGACGCACTGTACGTCAGGCACCGGGACTCTATGGGTCCCAGAACGCGGTTTATGTGCCTCCCCATAGTAGATGAAATGTATGCTTCAAAAACCATGGCATTCTATCGGTCTTTAACTATAGAGGGACCCATATGAGCTTCGGTCCCCATAGATCATAGATCCGCCACTGCTGATAGCTGATCAACACTTTCTTGGAGAAAATAATTAACAACAAATTAACAGCGCTCGTTATCAAAACGCACATACGCTCGAACTTACGTACAGCGCACAATTTCAACGTCCTCGTAGTGAAATTGTCCAACACAATAACAGCAAGCAGCAACAAAAACAAAAAAAATCCCACCATTAACGGGAAAAATTAGCTGTTTTCTCCTGGCCGGTCGCCGTCGGATACATAATACAAAATCTGTTAGTCGGTTACATTTTTAATTTACGACAGCTATTGTTGCGTAATCTAGTGTGCACTGTTAAGTGCACGTAACATAACGGTGCGGTCGAGGTGTCGTAAATCCGGCTAGTATGATGGTTATGTGTTTGGTGGTATGAAGGTGCCAGGTTGATGTACGTTTTTAAGCAAACATTGCCTATTGTACAAATATCAACTAAAAATATTCCTCACATCCATTCAATCGCATCCTTATTCACGGACACTTGGCAAATCTCATTTAGACATCACCATCAACTTAAACCTGTGGGCAGTGCTTGGTTTGGTCTAAGTTTTTGAACACAAATCAAAGGGGCTTGCGACAAGGGTGTTTCCCCACCAGTATTACCTTCCTTGACAAGTAACTGGTGACATCATATCGATTTTCATTGGGGCTAGCTGTCATTGACATCTTCACTTGTAGTCGCTGTGTGTGTTGCATAAACTATATGGTTTCACTCTGATGTGAAACCTTCTAAGGCCTAAGCTATATGTTCTATACTATGGCCAGAGTGGCTGTAGTTGTAACATTCCTCCATAGGTGTCGCTCATAGAGAGTAGGTGCGAAATGGAGATTTTTAATGACAATATATCGATTATTTACGGACTTGCTCTAGTGCCGAACAGATATGTATCATTTTGTGCAAATAGTACTGAATTATGATATTTTGCAGTTATAATTTACATTTTCTGTTGCTTTTGTGATAGCGACGTTGGTCATGTTTGTTGTCACAGAGCTCACAGCATTACTATAATTTAGTACCACTCACCATTTTTATTTAAAGCCCTTATGCTAGTCCTTACCTGAAAAAGAAAATGAATATTAGTTCAAACATTAGAAATAGATCATAATAATTATCGTTCGCAAAATGTTACTGCCAGAACATTTTCATGACTATACCTATTGACACTTGAATTTACAAGAAATTTCTCAACACCCTGTATGAAAGTACAATAGATGCAGGCTGGTCGGTGCGGTGCGAAATGTCAAGGTGTTCCGTTAAACTTTTAGTGAAGCTAAGCTGAAATCCGTTGAAAATTTGCATTCACTGGCATTTCGGCTTTTTGTTGCTTAACGATAAAATATGAGATTAAACATTTCACACTAAATTAGACAATAGGCGAGACAGGATAAATGATAGACTACCATTTTTCAAAATGTATGTTAATTTAAATTCGCTGGCAGAAAAATGACGTATCGTTTTTTTAAATTTTTGCAAATTTCAGTTGGTGTGTGTATTTTACCTGTCTAGTGTTTTAGAAAATTTTGGGATATTTTCAAAAATCGTTATTTCGGTGGAATTGCATCCAAAAATTATATTCTCAATAATTTGACTTTTTTCTTTGACGAAAATTGCACACAGAACAAAGTGGAAATTCCACGCCAAAGCTGTGTCGTAAGAAGTTCTAGGCTGCGGTCATAATTTTTCCGCGCCTACTACTACCATGCTTCTTCAAATGTGAGTAAAACAGCCTTTATTCTCTGAAGTTAACAGTTTGACATAAAATGTCACGTTCTACGGGTGTCCAGACCGCTTGAATGAGGCCTTTTTCAATGTAAAAATTTCAAATAGGTTTTTTTCAAACGCGATCGACAAAACAAGATCCATCCATGAAAAATGGATGTAAAAAATGTATTTCAATCATTACAATGCAATTTTGTCGGGGTGGAGAATAACCCCATTTGGTATATAAGCACAACTGAGTCACTGTCACGGGCTGTCATTGGAACACATTACATAGTTGCGGAAAAACGTTAATAAAACTTAATTCTGCATCAGTGGTTTTATTTGGCAGCCCGTAAAACATTCGGTGTCATCAACGAGACGTTTGTCTAATATAATTTTTCATACATAATTTCTAAGTTTCAATAAAAGATTAAGATGAAAAAAATGGACGTATTTTATTTCATTTCATTTCACAAATATTCAAGATACAAACCAGTCAGTTACATATCGGCCACCCTGTATTTCCGGTAAAATAAGGCCCATGTCGCCAAAATCCAGGCTGGTAAAATGTCTATATAGTGTCCGGATATTGTTAATAGTGATAACTATTCATAGTTATGTTAGAAACTGTTCCTTTTAAGTGCTATATACTATGGTATATCGCAATCGCTCTCGAGCTCGTTTTTCAAAGGCAAGTTAACTTCAGCTTAACTGCTAACCCCAAGTTAATTTTCAAAAAGCGTTTTTCAATGTCAGCTTTCAACTTCAACCAGAGGATCACGTTGTGGTCAAACCGTAATGTCTAACCTAATGTGATTGACAATGACATAAGTTGTCAAGGATGTAAGGAGACACAAAATACTGAACATCACCAAACGGATAGGACACGACAACTCAGGCATTGCCATATCAACACTTTATGGATCGTTAACCAGTACTTATTAAAAACGAATTCATAGGCAACTGATAGATAACTTCCAAGTCATAGTTACCAACTTGAAGTTAAGTAGCAATTATAAAACCAGGCTTTAGATGTCCACCTGTATTTGTTATATTCCTTCTCTTACCGTGATCTACTTGTGCAAGTATAACAAGTCGCCCTGACCGAGCCCCGAGGCGTCAAGAAGTGCCGTTCCATCATACCACTATAACAGTACATACTTACAACTTGGAAAAGCATTAATTCAAAATCAAACCGATGATCCACCATTCATATAATGCCTAGTAAATGGCTGCATGAACACCTAGTTCTGTCCAACAAAAAATGTTTACCAAACACTTTGAAGGAAAATGAAAAGACGAAACTCAAGTCACCGAGTCAGAACGCACTTCTCGCCTAGGCGTCCAGTCCATCAAAGCACCTATATTACGAAATGTAACTAGATTCCTTTTTATATCGAAGCAGTAGTCACTGTTAATGATAAGTGGTTAATAATCTCCATCTCTCCAACCACGCGAAAAGTGGAAAACCTTTTTCTTCTTATTTCATTTGCAGCCTGATGGATTCTTTGAAGTAAATCTTCTTGAGTATTTACTTCAGTCGAATAAACTAGGTCTTTTAATGACCCCCAAAAATATAAATCCAATGGATTTAGGTCAGGTGAACGTGGCAGCCACGCTATAGGACCTCCTCGGCCTAACCCCCTGTCTGGAAAATTGACATTCAACCAATTTCGAACATGGCGTCCAAAATGTGCAGGGGTGCCATCATGTTAAAAAAAACATATTTTCTTGAAACTGCTGGCGCACATCCAATGGTATTATATCCATGAGCTCATTCTGAAGAAAGTTCAGATACACCTCTGGATTAAGACGATTGGGAAGTACAATAGGCCCAATTACTTGTTCCCCACTTACTCCTGCCCATAAGTTCAATGAAAATCTATGTTGGAAATTTGTACGGCGAACAACTTTTGGATTTTCATCTGACCAGTGATGCATGTTATGGAAATTAAAAGCACCATTCCTAGTAAATATTACCTCATCCGACCATAATATTCTAGGAATAGTGTTTTCATTTGCTAATATCCACTGACAAAACTCGATTCGTGGTAAAAAATCTGCCTCCGTTAAATGCTGTACCCGTTTAAAATGATAAGGATGTAATCCTTGCATTCTTTTCATTCTTCCTATCTAAAATTATTATTTTTAGGATAACTATCAAATAGGTATTCATAAATTTTTCTTACTATTGATCGAGGTATATCCATATTTTCTGAAACATTTCGTATGCTTATTTGCGGATTATTTTCAAACATATTTAAAGCAATATCCATACGATGATTTCCCAGTGGCCTTCCTGAGCCCTGCATGCGCTGAAAACTTCCATGGTTTGACAAATTCCGGTGAATATCAGTAAACATTCGACGTCCAGGTACTTATGCGATTGGGAAATCTTCTTTGATATTCTCTTACGGCTGGCAATGAACTGCCATTGCATAACCCGTACACAAAATGCATGTCAGTCAGTTCTCTGTCTGTAAATCTTGGCATTTTAAATCGATTTATTAAAAATTTTGATTTTAATCTAGTAACTTTACACTGCTAACAATGTCAGCTTAACGTCAAAATAAGTCATAACAAATCAAAACAACTTTTGTCATGGCTAACTATGTATAATCAACAATTCATTTAAATTCGCAGTACATTTCCTATCATGTGACAAATTTTTTAGTTTGATTTTATGCAAAAATGGCACAATTTATGGATATGAGTACTTTTTTGTGTAGAAAACCCTAATTTTTCAAATTATATTTTCGTAATAACAAGGGCAGCGACATGAGTCTCACCATATAGCTGGATCAGTTTACTCCATAGTTGGTGGTGAAAAATTAAATTGGTCTTGCTGGATTTTCCAAATGATGGATGCCTGTGATTTAACTGATGGTTGGATTCGCTAGCCTGGTCGCAGTACCAGTACGAGCAGGCAGTACCAAGCGAGCGAGCGCGAAGTGACCGGGCAAGGCCTCCTTCGATTCAGTGACTCACTCGCAAGGCCGCTCGTTGCTCTTTTGTTCCGCTTTAGGTACGACTGCCGGCGATCGACCGGACTAGGTAGTATTGGACCGACGCCGACGCTGCTCAGTACCGCCTATAATGCCACCGACTCGTGAAAAAACAGCGTCTACTACTAGCATTATTTAAGTTTAAGATATTGAATAGATATATCGATCTCACAGCCCCTATAAATTGTTCCGAAATTTGAGTACATATTTCAAAAAATAGAAGATAACGAAGACTAAAACACAAGCTGTAAGGGTGGCGAGCGCCAATCGAGGGGATTCAAAACTATGTTAGTTTGTTGCTGTAAACATATGAAATTCGTGGTTGAAATTAATTCCGTATTACTCGTCGTTGCCTCTCAATGCGATCGGCAGGTGTATTACGTAACTTGAAGGCGTTTTTTTGACATTAGGTCTTTTATGATATTATGTAGGCTTTCCTACAAGACGTCAACTTGGAACTGGCTGTCGTTCACTTTATGCTCTTGATAATCTGTTAGTTCCCATGACGCTCAGTGTCATTCCACGTAGTGACAGCAAGACATATATGTTAATAACGCCACTTTTATTAATTCATTCGTGAATGTATTTATTAAATTCACACTAAATACTCAAACTGCATTCCTCCAGCAGCAATGCAAACTTGTCATCTTAAAAATGATCGGGTTATTTTTCTGCTTACTATTATGACTTAGCCTATACACAGTTTTCGGCTTGACCTCGGCTTCTAGCACACGCTGTAGATATGGTAGGTTAATAATACACGGAAACATTACGACTTGTAGCTTATACCTTATGTTTGACTCTCAGTGATAAATTTTTTTGAGTAAAATACAAAACATGTTTTTTTTCGCGCCAACCATTTTTGATTCTGATATTTGGAATCATTCTGAATAAAAAAAAAATCGCAGTAAATTTTCTCGAAAGTAGACGTTTCTGGCCATAAGTCATTAAATGTCAGAAAAACCATAAAAAATGTAATTTTGAATGCCTTAAAACTAGGTTAAACACCCATCAACCTTCCCCACAAGACTCTCAAAGGTACTCTAAGGGCCAATTTCACCAACATTAATATTTGACGGTCAGATGGACCAATACGAAAAAACCTTATCGAAATGCAATTTGACGGAAGCTGTCAAAGCTCTCTGAATATCAGTGGTTTCTATTGACATGTTGAATAAAGTCGTGAAAAAACGGTTGCCTTATAAATAAGGGTACATTATAGATGTAATATTATATCTTTGTGCTTTAGAATTAATCTAACTTTCATAGAATTTCCAATTTCCCAAAAACCGGTCTGTTATTTAAGTGGGACCATGCTTGGCTATCTAGTTTTGCCTGTATATCACGTACAGGGTGTTGTACATAATACGTACCTGTATAACTGTACCGATTTTTGTTATTTTGCAAAAAAAAAGGATATAAAACGTATTCCAAGTGGTTCATCATCTTTTGTTACATCAAAAACAATTTTTGCAAATTTATGATCTAGAAATCCACACCGAATGTAAACAAACAGCACATTCTGCACTTCTGGGTCCTAAAACATCGATATTTGTAAAAGTATCCGTATCCACCTATTTTCATCGTCTGTAAATGTAAGATAGTAAAGGCAACACCGCACCTCTTATCGTTTTAGGAAGTATCGATACTCTAAAATATTGGAATAAAATTATCGATATCCAGCGGAAGGAATCTGAAGTTAGTCACTCTTTCTGACACAGTCCAGAAGATGACGATACTCAATACCAAAGTGTCGTATATAAAAATATCGATTCAAAATATCGGGTATGGGAAGCAAAAGTATCGATACTTCTAAATATAGGATCGTATCGAACATCCCTACTGTCAAGATGTATAACCCGAGGTACCGACGCAGTTATTTTGGGGCGTGATGGAAATAATTTTAAATTTTCATTTGCATTTTTTCAAGTGTTGTGCAAAGATTTTGGGAAAAATTCTACGAATAGTCTTATAAAGCATAGTAGAGTATATTTCAACATTTACGGAGCGTACTCCACTGGGACCAGGGGGGTGAAACGGGATATTAATGCACAATCTGGCAACCATGTCGCACCCTCAAAAAATGGCCGCTGACAACCACACAAGTCACCGTGTTGTCATTGAATGGCATGGAATTAAACCTTCTTCAGTGTATATGTTTTTAACTGGGACCAAGGGTTGACGGATCCCACATATGTGTCACTCGTTGGGGAGTTTTGAAATGTAATAATCAGCTGTAATTCAAATAATGTCTAATTATATAACCTAGAACGTGTACTCGTGAAAAAAGAAAAATATTGCAAATTTCTAGTTTTTTGCAGGTTTTAGGTTTGCTGTTAGCTTTACCACATACATTTGGATATCGCTGAAAATATAGTTTGCATGTTTGTTCAGTTCCTGAACAACGAAAAATATTCAACTTTATGGATGTATGGATATCAAAAAACTTGAATGGTTTTGTGGGAATATCAATCTAAGGTGCCATAATGGTTCTGATGAACGGAAAGTAAATGAATGAATGTTTGGAAACGAGCAATATCTATGAAATTTTCGGTAGAGTCTGTCATCATGTAGGTGTTTAATGGCTATCTGCAAGAGGTTTATAGGAAAAAAACACGGGAGGTGATGTTAAATCAGAAAATCGCATTTCAATTGAAGAAAATAATATAAACATGAACCAAAAATCAGCAAAACATGAATTTTATTCAAACATTTCTTCAAATTTTGACTGAATTATATGTAATTTCTTAATATTCAGTAAGCTGGTGATGTTTCAAGGACAAGCTGTCATCTCGTACTTTGTTTTAGACATTTCATAGGTGTTGGTTGTTGAAATTTGTTGATTGGATGTTGAAGCTCATTCGCTGTATTTGACGGACTGTTACCCTATAGGTGGAAAATAACGGACTGTTAATTTGACAACCTTGGTGAAATCCACCCTAAGGTTAGCTTATTTTGAAGCGATTTTTAAGCTTGTTTATTGGACCAACTTTTGATTTTTGCAACTATACTGGGACGAGATTTGAGGCAAGCCAAGTAGGTCCAATGTGATTCAAAGAAAGCCTGAGTGCCTTCAGACGAAGATACTGTATGCGAGACATGCGTATTAGAGATACAGATATTACTCACAAAAAAATTGGACTTTTCACACGGCCCTGACGATGCGTGGCTGTACCACACTGCGTCGTATTGATCAGAACTGTATGGTAGTTTCGACATTAAAACTGTAACTGTTTTAACCTGTATTTTTTTACTATTTCCTTCTTTGCGGTTGAGTGTAGAAGCCGGCTGCCCGAGCTTCGCCTCCAGGCACAGAAAAGGCATTATTATTTTATTACATTTATTATTTTTTCCTATTTTCTACATAGTTTGTTTTTATATATTTAGAATGTCGTACGGGATTATTTAGTCTTGATATTTTTCTTTCTGTCTTGTTTTTCTTTTTTTTGTATAGCCAATTTATTCTTGTTTATTTTTCACATAGTAGGGTTAAGTGTAAAATTAGCCCTTCAATAAATATCTTTATTATTATTACTAAATTTTCCATGGAAGTTTAAATTTTTCCATCATAATACTTGCTTTGCCTTTAGCGTGGGAAGTAAATCCTCAACCTTGACCATAGCTTGCTTCCTGTCCGATCTGTCGCCGACTTGCCTGACGCAGAATGAATTCAATAGTCGTCGTTGTATTCTTCGAAGGCGCGATCGCCAAGTGTCTATCGGTCGGTCGGTGTTAATTATAGCTAGAAGAATGTGAATGGCGTTTGGGAGCGCGACTAGCGAGCCACAGAATCGGGATCAAAGTCACTAGCATCGCATATAGCTACTAGCTGCTGGTGATGCTATATAAGAACACGCCTAGTAGTTAAAGGTCAATGCGACGCGATGATGAGCAATTGGCCGTTTTGCAGATGTTTATTTAGATTTCGATCTAGTTAACCCTGACTGTTTTTAATCATTTCTCTCGCGAAGACATAGCTAAACCACGAAGTACAGCGACGAATTAAAAAAAGTTAGTTTTATTATCGTCTGGTACGAAAACGGAAGATAACGACTTTAGATTAGATTGAAGGACATATACCATCTTTCGCTTCTAAATTGCTGATACCACCGACTACCAAAAAATAGATCTATATTTTCATTCAGATTTTTTTAGACATCTCGGAAATTTATCCATGTTGCATGTCCCTGGATGAAGGCTAGTAAATCCCCGAATATGATTTCTATCTACAGTTGGTACTCAGTAGGTACCCATTAATAAGGTAACAGCGAGTAAAGGTATTAATATGTGCTTAGTAATACTTTGAAGTTGAGTCATTAATTTTCAGACTACGATTGTAGAAGGAAGATAAACCAAAATATCTGTGTAAAAATAAAAAAAAATGTTTACCTTGTTTTATAAAGTATCCTCCCGACAAGTATTTCAGTGCACACCTGTATTTGATCGTGCGGTCTTGGAGCACCGGCATGCCCTCCCCTGTGAGGTCTCAAGTCGCCTGATTCACGAGCCCTTTGTACTACATTAACAAAGGCACGAGGGGTTGGTTGCACTCGATTGGGAAACCGATCCGCATAAATCCGTGATGCAGCGGCAGCATTTTGTAAAGACTCCCCCCCCGTAAATAAGAATCATGTCCACAAGTTCAGCATTTTGGTAAACATGTGCCATTTTTTATTTCGTTTGAGGCACGCAACAAACACCACTATTCACTCACGCGTTACCGACTGACACATTGACTGAATACAACGGAATAAAATTGTAGTGAAAACATCGTGATAAGCGTTTCAAATTCTTTCGCTTTTTTGTTTCCGATGCGATGAACCGATAAGGCGGATTATATCCGTTGTTGCCAAACACGAGCACATAATATTATATAACTTTGTTACTTTAATTTTACCAGAAAAATGTTAAAGGAAAAAACATTTCTTTTGATCAGATCTACTCACTGTTAAAATAAATGACTCAACTTCGAAGTTGAACGTGATGGAGACAAATTATACGGACGACTCTGAAGCCGCTGCAATTGACGACGTCGAATACGTAGTAATCGTATGAGATGAGTAAACGCGTCATTCATAGGTCGAATGTGTCAATATGAGTTTTCGTGTTGATGGAGTAACTGGTCGTTCAAATTTTCTTCTTTCATCGGCAATATTTTCTTTGTGTCTGTGAAAGTAATAATGGTGAGGCACTGCTACACATGTAAAACTATAGCCCACAAGACAAAAGAACATGTTTCGTTTCATAGATAGCATAGGTTATGTTTTGCTTTCGGTTCTCCGTGGTGTGGTTGTGTTTTCCCTGATACCAAGTTGGACGTTTTAATGCTTTTATTTGTGGGCAGCCCTCTTTGTCCCTTTTTCGTGATATCCAAGTTACAGGGATACTATTTTTCATCCTTCCCCAAATTAATCAAAACAGCATATTTCATATATGCAATGCATACCTTTTATGCAACATAATGTGCTACAATTTTTCTCTTCATACCTCTTGATACTTTGAGACTTCTGAACTGTACATATCGATACTATAAAGCAGTACCAGCAAGATCAGTGTCTTCAATTTGAGTTATTGGACTTTTTTTTTACTGAGATGCCAAGAATACTATCCAAATTGGTGCTGCCTGATCTAACATACTTTTTAATGAAAATTAACTACTTTTTGATACTAGCTCGTGAAATTACCATTACTGATTTTGATAGATTGAGAAGTATCATTTTTATCGCTGAACGAAAAACAAGACGAGGATTCAAAGCCGCGTGATTTTGTTTCACTGTAACATATAAAACCAATTAACCTGAAAATGTATCACAGAACTTCATCTTTTACTAAATGTTTTACTTATAATGCTACTATTATGTACAATGCTTTACCTCTGATACTAAAACTTTGAATCTCAAGAATTTCAACAGTTATTTAAGAAAAATAATTTTTGAACAATCATTTACATAAATTTATCTCTGCTTATAATATATGCATCAATATGTATGTATAATGTTATACTTTTATCCAATCTTGATTTACCTGTGTTTTACTCATTTAATTTTTTTTTTCATGTTGAAAATCTGCATTTTAATAGTTGGTATATATTTTTTTTGATGGACATTTTACGGGTTAAGTGGTAGAATAGCTTATGCTAAACTTGGCCCGATAAAGACGTTTTATTATTATTATTTATATGATGTAACAAGTGGGCTCTCGGAAAATTGCCGACCTGGCCTTTTTTTCCCATAAATCCGCCTCTAAACAGTATTCAAATGAAATGTTGGTACTGTCGACCTCATTTACCGATCCTATGCTACGCCACTGGATTGTGCTGCGAACGTGTGACCTTGCAGATGATATGACCCACATCGTCGGCCATTTTCAGGCTGTTCACACCCGCATCCCCCACTGACCCATCGACATGTGCGCCACAACCTTTTGATTTAATGAGTGAATCAAGAGGTCTATATTTTTTTTTCTCTCGACAGTCTAGGGACGAAGGAGCGGTCGTATCGGCCAGTTCTGGATGTACGACACGGTTAGGATGGGAGGTGGAAGTCAGGCGGGTCTGTCTGGCAGGCACATTGCGCGGCGGAATCATGGAGGAGAGCGCTGAGGAGCAAAGACCATTGGTGTAGCGGTAGAAAAGAGCTCGACCTCCCCTGAACTGCATCATGCATGGATAATGTAGTCGGGGCGGCAGCACCAAACATGTGAGCAATTCTCACGGTCAGGTGTTATCTAGGCCTTGTATAGAGTAAGGAGATCATGTTGAGAAAACTTTTTAGCCCTAAACAAATAGTCTAGCTTTTGCTATTGCTGTTGCTGAGATGTGTTCGTGCCAGATCAAGTCCTGCGTGATCTGGACTCCGACCAGCTGAAATGAACGGCTCTTTGGAGAAATCGAATGAGCGCTGGACGCTTTTTCTTCGTCATGGTACTGTGTTTTGGAAGCATTAAACTGTACAAGATTGTTGCGTCCCTACGCAGTGATATGCTCCAGGTCTCTCGTCAGAGAGGAAGTCGCTGCTGGTCTTCTTTACTCCACCTCACCAGCAGAGATCGGCTTGTCACCTTGAATCCCTGATTGTAGAGTGCTGTCACCAGCAAAGTTGTGGATTGGATTGATCGTACAGGAAAAGAAGTTGTTGATATGTAATAGAAGCAACGTCGAAGCTAAGACTGATCCCTGGGGAACACCCGCGTTGACGTTGTAGAATGAAGAGAACTCATCAAATACGACAAATACCTTGCGGCCAGGAGAAAGTAGGTGGAAGATACGAGTATTTGAATATGTAACCTACACAGTTCCTCCTAGACTCCTCCCTCACCAGGACCTATAGCGATTTCGCCAGAAGTCGTATGTAAACTAATGTATTGATGCCTTTGATGTTGCAACTACTTCATAAGGTTAGTTTGGCGACGTCGCCATGGCATTCCGGATATATTTATCGGAGAGGTATCTATGTTTTGGAGCCGTATGTACCAGTAGGTTTTCATCTCTAAAAGACGACTACAGTATATTCAGATAAGAGATAGACCGGATGTAAACAAAAGGTTCGGGTGATTTTCACGCTAACGCCGCCGTCTCGACGTAAAACAGGAGCCCTCATTGGTCAATTCGCAATTAAATGCCTATGCCGAGCGGCAGAGCAGTCGTATCAAGGCAGAGTCACATTCAGGTTCAGACGTGTTACGTATGTCGTGTGCTTCATTGCAATTTGATATTTCTTTAGACGTTTTCGTTTGTTATCTTATTAAGTTGTTGAGTTTGTCGTTGTTATTGTTATACCTTGTTATTGATTGTTATTGTTATCAACTGCTTGCGCAAAATGCCCAGTAGTACAGATACTGCCGATGAAGTTGTAAACTCTTGTAGTCCACCTAGGAAACGCTCTAAAAAAAGACACCTGAGTGCAGAAATGAAAGAGGTCATTTTGAATATATATAAGATCGAGCGCGAGGAGAACGAGGCATCAACCATCAAAGAAATTGTTGTGAAGGTTTCTCACAAAGTTGGGGTATGTCGCGCATCAGTGTTTAATGTGTTAAGACAATACAAAAAAATCACACCTTTTCTGAGCCAATGACCAGTAAACATCGCAAAAGTATTGTTAAATCATTGGATGAAGCTGATAAGCATGCGATTAGGAGGAAAGTGCATGAATTCTTCTTTAGGAATGAAATACCTACTATAGATAAAGTACTGCAGGAGGTAAATGGAGATACAACGTTGCCAAATTTCAAACGATCAACTTTCCATGCGTTACTGAAGCATTTAAATTTCAAATGCAAAAAACGGGGTCGTAATAGTTTACTACTGGATAGAGAAGAAATTGTGCTATGGAGGAGGGATTATTTAACAAAAATTGGGAAATATAGAAATCAAAACAGGAAGATTTATTACCTTGATGAAACGTGGGTAAACGCAGGACACACTACAAGTAAAGTATGGGTTGATGATTCTGTAACTTCATCCAGGAGGGCCTTTCTAGATAGACTGTCCACCGGATTAAAAAATCCAGCAGGTAAATACGAGTAATAGACAACAATCGGATGTTTTTCAAACCTTGGGAACAAGGTTCTAAACATTAATTCCAGGGGGCAGATAAAACATATTACAAGTAACAGAACTTTTATAACTTTCGATAAAATGCGTGGATGTTTTATTGTCATTTTCATTTGTTAGAACTTTTTTAAGCCATGTTTTTATGTGTTTTCGATATTTCAATAATTTTTTAATATAATCTTAAAATATGTCGAATATTATAAACTTAAAAAAAGTTACTAAGTTTTATATTGTGTACCGTTCCTAATATTTCTAATCATTTTAATTCATACTTTAAGCTTTATAAAGTTATAATTTGTTAATATTAATATTTGCGCGTATTTCAGGTTCCTGATCATTAATTTTTTAAAGGTTTATAACTTTAAATTAAATTGTGAAGCGCTGAGTAATCATACGACGTTCAATATTCTTTCTTTCAATATGACTAAATAATCCCAATTATAGCAATCTGATACTCATGTCTCAATGTTTTTTCGCTGAATGTGATGAAAACATTTGAAAAAGGTTCGCTTATTGAAATAAATCTACACCAGTTAGTACTTCGATTTCCAGGTAAAGGGAAAAGGCTCATTATCTGCCATATTGGCAGTGAGGATGGATTTGTTGTTGACGGTCTGTGGTGCTTTGAGTCTAAGAAAACTGGAGATTACCACGAGGAAATGAATGGCGAATCGTTTGAACAGTGGTTTTCAAAAATTTTACCGAACTTAGAGGAAAACGCAGTAATTGTGTTGGATAATGCGCCTAATCATTCTCGAAGAATGGAGAAGGTCCCAACAACGGCTTCAAGGAAAGTTGATGTTCAAAATTGTCTCCGCTCGAAAAATATCAACTTTGAAGAAGCAATGCTGAAAGTACAATTATTAAGAATTGTCAAGGATCACAAGGCGGAATATCAAAAATACGCCATTGACGAAATGGCAGCAAGTCAAAATAAAACTGTGCTCCGTTTACCTCCATACCATTGCGAGCTCAATCCCATTGAGCTCATATGGGCAGAGGTTAAAAATTATATAGCTACGCACAATACAACTTTTAAATTTTGTGACCTCAAAGGACTTTTCAAAGAAGCACTAGAATTAATAACAGCGCAAAAATGGGAAAACTGTATTAAGCACGTGAAAGACAAAGTTGAAAAGAGAATGTGGGAACTGGACAATATTTTAGAGGAACAAGTCGAGCCATTCATTATTGACGTTGGTGCTTCAGGCAGTAGCGATGATGAAAGCTCATCAAGCTCATCTTTCCAATAAAAGATGTCGTTCATCAAATTCGGTAAGTTATAAGTAATTATAAAGCTACTGTATTTTTTAATTAATTATTGACATTTTTGAACCCATTTTGGCAAAACCTATTCAAGAATCTACTTTCTGACAATGTTCAACCATGCACATTTTTTTACGTTTTGAACGTTTTAATTTGGTTACATATTTACCTAGAAATAAAAAAATATACTAATCAATATTCTAAAAGCAATTTTAAGAGATATACGATTATTTTTAATTTAGACTAATTTAAACGCCATTTTGAGATTATATTCGACTGTATTTCACCAAACATCAGGCGGCATCCGAAGCTGGAAATCGAAGCGAAAATTTTGAAACCCTTATGTATATTTACATCATTATATATTTCTTACCCCACCCCCACATGATCCTATATCCATCACCAATCGTATACACATCGAATTGTGCTAATTTACTACAAAGTTACGCAAAGCAGCATCTACTATCTAAAATATGTACTGCGTGACTCTTAATACGTCCCTGCCGAATGTTACAGCGTTCGATGATCACGTGGTCTTGTTTATGTCCGGTCTATCTCTTATCTGAATATACTGTAGATTAGTATTTAGAATATAACAAGAAAAGCTAGACGATCAGATTAAAAAACGAATCAGATGGAGAAGACATTCGCCGACATATCACAACTTTAGTTTTGCAGTCGTCAGAGTACCAGCACGTCCTAGAAGCGGAGCGGCTCGGCCCTTAGATGTTCAAGAAAAAGAAGTCACGCTGATCAGATTAAGGAATGAATCAGAAGAAAAACGCGTCCGTCCGCTGAAATGGCTTCACCTTGATTCCTCCTTGGCTGAGTTGGTATGCACGGCATTTGGTAGTATGGCCGGGCGGTGAAGACTGCGTATCCAACAATAAGCTTAACCTTTCACCGGCGAGGCGAGATGCAATATTCCAAAATTAGCATCGGCTGCTGCTTCGGCCGTCCTTTTCCATCTTTTTCGATACGGCGACAAAAGGAAAGGGTGTCCCGAAATACTCGGATTCGGTGTATTTTTAGCTCGCAGTACCGCGCCGCTGAAATCGAGCGCAGTTCCGACGACTTTGGCGTTGCACCATGCGGAGTGCACAGATTGTCGATGTCGACACTAGCATTCTTTCTGGCACGGTATGTTTTGGAATGGCGAAAGATAATCACTTTTAGGATGTCTCACAATTTTGGCGTTAAGTCATAATTTGATGAATGTGAATGATTTTCAATGTTTACTCATTTCTTAAAAAAATCCATATCATGATGGAGTTAATGAGCCGTATTCATAAAACAAAGCATATCCTTGTACTTGCAAATTTTGAAGGAAATCCTCCAGATGGTATTTATAATAATTTGAAGTAAATGGTTTTGCTTTTTGAGGCATATCCAAACCAAATCGCCATGGAGATGAGTATATCAACCGAAAAGGGAAATCTACTTTGAAGGTACAAGCCACTTGTGATACCAGAGAGATGTTCACAAGTGTTGATGTCAGTTGGCATGGATCAGTGCACGATTCCAGAATATGGAGAAATTCACAGACTAGATCACAACTAATAAATAAAGCAAATGGCGATGACGGTTATGGTACTCCCTTCAGAAATCCCACTCCAGGTGCAGAAATAAATTATAATAAGCTTTTAAAACAAGAAAGAGTTATAATTGAACGCTGTTCCGGCCAACTGAAACGCCGGTTTCCTATCCTACAGTATGTTTGCCGCGTAAAGTTGGAAAATGTGCCGAAAATAATTATTGCTTGTATTGTACTCCATAATTTTGCGAAGAGCTTGGGCGATCCTGACTTTGAGTTAGTCGAACAAGACCTAGATGAAGATGAAGGAAATCATGAGAATGACGACCCTCTCCGCCAAATAGGTCAACAAATAAGAAGAAATTTGAGTATTATAATAAATAGTTTTACTGATTAAAGTGTATGTATAAGTTATAATAAGTTTTATTTTCGTGAACATCATAAGTTGCAGGTGTCTTCTGACGCTGCATCATTTCTAATTACGTTTTATAATACTCTTGTTGTAAAATACTTGTTTTGTACTGCTGTAATAGCACTAGACGTTGCAGTTCTTTTGTAGTTAACCCTTTGGTTTCATCAGTTTCGTATTTCTCTGTTGCTAATTTTCTTTTTGGTGGCAAAGGCTTCTGAATTGCTGGATCTGAAATACTAACTGTTCACTGCGCTCGGTATATAGTTCATTTCCTTCTTCTTGAACACTACCAACCTGAATGGCACCTCTAATTTTCCCAATTGTAGGATTACAGTCACCTTCCACAGCTTTCAGCAACTTTCTTTCCCAATCTAACAATTTAATTGCTTTATTACCAGTTTTTTTTAGATGTTTTTTCTTCAATCTCGTTGTTGATTTTTTTTAATAAGCTTTTAATATCTAATGGTTTACCGAATGTTGATTCATATTTTTTCAACATCTCCTTCAAGGCATCGACATTTCTCATTTTTATTTTTGGTACTTGTGACTTTTGCAAAATAATGGGAGCAATGGCAATTTCATCTGCGATGAACTGTAGATCGTTGCCATTATTTTCTATAGTTTCCTCATCACTTGAGGATGAGATGCTTATTAATTTGATAAAAAACTGTATCCAGTAAAAATAAGGAACGGTCTGTGTAAGCTCTGGAGTAGAACTGCCAGTGATGCTGAGTGAATGAACTCCCACGTCAACTACAAGCTGGAACAAGTCAGGACATGTCGCTCACGATACAAATACTAGTCAACCTTTTACTTCTTCTTGGAGGATATCCTTGCGAGTATAAGGTAATCATTATGTATATGAAAACAAGCAAGACCTTATACTTTTACCTTATGCTTCCGAGGATATGCTTCTCTTTTGTGAATACGGCTCAATGTCTATCTATCTTGACCTACGTATCCAGAAGGTCCAGAATAGCTGCTGCAGCTTAGTGTATGGCATGAGAAAGTATGATCACATTTCACATAAAATCAAGAAGTGTAACGTTACTCCTGTTATATGGTCGTCCATAACACAACGTGCCGTATCTCATTTTTTCCAATTTTACAGGAGAGAGTTTTAAATATTTTCACGAGATTTGAGTTGTTGTTGCCAAAAAGGCATTATTGCTACATAATTGAATTTGTGGGTATATCTGCTCATGTTTATAAGCTTTTCAAAAATGAGCAACGATTAACCCATTTTTCATTTTATGCGTTCAAAAAATTTCCAAGGAAATTGAAGGATCGTAATTCATACAATAAATACTTAGTTACGTCCGTGTTGTATTAAAGTGATCAAAAATTGAAACACGTGAAATTAAAAAAAAATGTTTTTAACAAGACAAAATGGTTATAAAAAGGGAAAGAGTGAATATTATGGCGAAATAAGTATCCGCGGTATCTAAAACTGTACTTACTCTCTATAAAAGAAAATATGGCAGCACAAACAAAAGATTCACTCAAATAATAATGATATAATAATATCTGTTAAAGATGAACAAAATAATAATTAGTATTTCATCTGTTACTCATTCTTTGGTATTCTGGTAAACGGACTACCGGTATATCTGCTTCACACAGCGACTTCAAATCTATATATTTTTCCGTAGTAATTTTTCTTTGCCTTCAGAACTTCGAGGGGAATATCTGTTGAATTAATTTGTCTTCTTAATCTAAAAAAGCTGTATTCGTGTTGCAAGTGACTAGTTTTGTAAAATATTGTTAGCGGTTTATGTTTTTTACCCTTTATTTCCATAAAATTGGGCCACTTTATAGGCTCCCCTGTATCTGAGGTTCTTATAGATAAAATTCCCAACTCTTGGGAATTTTTGTTTTAAATTTTGAATAACTGGAGGTAGTTGGGCATTTCATCTACTTTGGACAATACTGTAGAAACGGCACTGTGGGCAGAATCTCCTTCATTTTGACTATGAAATGACTAAAAATAGTATAATGATATCATCTCTCTTTTTAGCCGCAATATATAAAAGCTAAACTATCTGGGCACTCAACGAGACATATACAGATTGAATAGAAGTATACTATAGGATGCAGGTCATGACAAGTTAAAAAGATAGATACGTCACAGTTAGGGTTGTCATAAACACTTTAGCCAATGTCGGTACACTTTCACCGGGAGGAAAAAACTTTATTCAACAAAAATAAAATGCAAACATTATGAACACTATCTGTAACCTATAACATTTCTTAACTAACAAACATAAAAGATATACAGGGTATTTCAGTTAAAACTTCTACCTAGGGGTAAATAGGTACAAAAGAAGCCAAAAAAAATTGAAGCTTAAAGATATTTTTCCGAGGATTTTACTTTTTTTAAAATATCTTTTTGCGTTTTAATATATTTATAAAATTCAGCACACGTCATTTTAAAGTTATACTGACATTGCAAAATTGCTTCTACAGATTGTGCCAACATGCGGTTCTTTTCGTCGGTCCATTGAGTTGACATTAAGGAAAAAATTCTCTCAGAATTGGCATTGTGTGAAGGAATTGGAAATAAGTATTTTAATGAATTCTGATTTTTGGTCCAAATGGTCGGTGTTTTTTAAAAAGTGAATTCATCTTTCTTCAACAGATTTACAATGCCATTCCTCGGACAGAGGAAGATCTATATTGGTCGTCAAGAAATTTTTCAAATATATAAACTAGTCAAAGCAAGATTCTCCCGAAATTTGTATATCAATAAAAATAAAATACATAATTGTCTTTTCTATGTCTTCCCATTCTGGTATATGAGACAAATGCATCCAATCAAAATGGAAAACTTCACAAACGATTGCGACCACTTCTCAAGATATCCAATAGCTCTTTCAAAAAAATCGCTGACTTCTGATTCGAATTTTTGTACTAAATTTATAACTTCTTCTGACTTCTCTTTTAATTTAGTTACCTCTATCTTTGTTTGAATTCCAAAAAATTTCTTTGTCTTTCTTTCAGTCAACGATTCTTTGGTATCATCTAGCAGTTGTTTAGTTTCTATAACACATATTTTTGATTTTTCAATTATTTTAATATTCTTTTCAAACAAAAAGAGCTGCGAATGTATAAACATCAAATAAATTTCACTGAGTGGGTTGGCGAAAAAATTTGCAATAATTTTGGGCGGTTTCTCTTCGGAACCGAAAAAATATTTTAGTGGAGTCCATAGTTTTAAAATTCGTTCAACCGCAGGGAACAATGACAGCCACCTCGTTCTTGAATGCGACAACAAATTACTGTAAGAAACGTCTGCATAATCGCAAAACTCGTTTAGTCTCTCTGTTCTAATCGTATATATCGAAAAATAATTGAATATTTTAAGAACGATAACTTTGACATCAACAGATAATAAGCTTGCAGCGGTTGAAATGGTGTTGTGTAGAATATGAGCAGGACATTCAATGCCCTCAATATCTCTTCCTACTTCAGTTTTTAATTTAAAGTGTACGTTTTTTTCACCGCGTCTGTCAACGCCGCCAAAGTTTGTATTGGCGTTGTCGCCACAAAAAGCACTTAATTTTTCAAGTGATAGGTTTAGTTTACTTAATGTATTCAGGGAAAAACTGGATATTGTTTGGTTTTGCGGTTTACCATAATAAAATCTTAAAATTTAAAAATCAGTAAACCTCGAATACCGAACACTTGTTTACTTGTTTTTTGATCCAAATCATAAATCGGGACTTATCGCTGTCAAATCGGGATGTCGGGACATAAGGCCTAATAACGGTGACAGTCCAGATATATCGGGACGGATGGCAACCCTAGTCACAGTACGTATAATGATAAAATTAAAACTACAATTACGAACTGACTTAACTTAGATAAGCCATACGCTGTAAAATGATATGTATATTTTATAATTTTACCAATTGGCGTAACTTAAGTTGAGCTCCCTCGTGAAATTTAATTACCTATTAAAAAGAGAAAAGTCTAATATTATTTTTCTATCACTCTGAAGGTATTAGAAACTGACTTATGCCACTTCGTGATATTGAAGAGCACCCTTTTTTAAGTAATACAATCGACTTGACTCAATTTTAGTATTTGTTGAGTTACGCCACTTCGTGTTATTGGCGACGAATTATATCATCGCCAAAGTCATCCTAAAAACATCGTTCAGCATATCGATATTGGTGTTGACCACAATCGCAATTCACTAATTCGTAGATTATTAGTACCTCCGTTTCTAGTAACTGATTATAAACTGAAATTGATATTAATAATAATAATAATAACAATAATATATTTATTCGCCAAAATACAAAAAATGGGCAAATAAATATGAAAAAACCACAGAAGGCATCACCTGTGTGTGGTTTATATCTTAATAACTAACAATCAATCATATATGTGTATAACAATTATTGTTAAATCTAAAAGGTATTAATCTAATTGGAATTTTGTAGTTTTAGTTTTCTATATAATTATGTATATTCATTCGCTGCACATTACTAACCCAGTCTTTCAATTTTCTTCTAAATTTTTTTCCAAAATTAAGTATCTTTATTTCGTTTGGTTACTACATTATATAATTTAGCTGCTTAGAATTTAAATGATTTTTTGAATAATGTTTTGTGTGATCTTTGGATATTAGATGAGCCTATTCGAAATCGTGTGTTATGCTCGTGTTTATAAGATATTTTCTTTTTATTACAATACTTATGGTATAAGGTGGTGGCATGTAAGAAATAAAGTTGTCTTGTATCAAGTATCCCTGTTTCTTGATATAAGTTGTTCGTTGGATATCATCTTGGCTTATGGAAAATGGCTTTCAAAACAGTTTTTTGTGCTATATTCAGGTCAGACATATATGTCTTGCAGGCGGCACCCTAGGCTGTGATGCCGTATATTATATGGGTTTCAACTAAGGCATGGTATAGGATTCGCAGGTAACTTTCTGTAAGAATGTTAGCAAGCATTTTGAGTTTATAGGCAACATTTCTAATTTTTTTGATAACATATTTAATATGGTTATCCCACCTTAGATGTGAGTCTATAAATATTCCAAGATATTTCAAAGTGTTAACTCTATCGATTTTGGTCTTTTGGCCATGATAATTAACGGAAATTTGTTCGAAGGTAGGTAAAAATTTTGAATAGGATGTAAATGCAATAAATTTTGTTTTTTTGAAGTTAACTGTTAAAATTTTAGTATCGAACCAGTCAATGATCCTTATAAAATCCTTTTCAGCTATTTGCTTCAGTGTGCTCCAGTCATCAGCTTTATATAATACGAGGGTGTCATCTGCAAAACATATAATTTTTCCAGAACTGTTAATTTTGAGTAGTAGAGACTAAATAATAGTGGGCCTAGTACTGTTCCTTGAGGCACACCACACTTGATGTACATTTTTTTACTGTAAGTGTTAGTGATTTTGACAGTCTGTGCCCGACTTGAAAGGTAATTTTTTAAAAGGATTTGTGACGCTCCCCTAAATCCCAATCTTTCCATAACCTTCAGAAGCTCGACATGCTTAACCGTATCAAAGGCATTTTTTAGATCAACAAAGATACCAATAGTAGGTATCTATTAACTAAAATAAAAAAAATATCGCAATGAACAATGAATCACATTTTTCCAACATTTAAATTTTATTCACATATCATCCATGATATTTCTGCATCCGCCCTATTTTGCGAGAGGTGCCTGCCTTACCCTCTCCGTTAAATCTAATACCATCGACCATGCGATTTTACGTTATATCTAATCTAATCAAGTACATGAAAGTTTCCTATCCTTATAAAGATAGCGATAAGTGAAACTATAACAAATTATTATCGATGAATCGCAAAAACGCGATGATGTAGAGCATATATGGAATACTAATAATGGAAAAATAATAATGTGCGTTAAGTTAGGTTGTTGGGTATTCAACATCGCCGTTGACGCGTAAAAATAGGAAATAGCAACCGTCTATCTATTCACCATCATTATGTACGCGCTCTGTCAAGGTGAACATCTGATGATTTTTGTTAGCGATCAGCAAATGTATAGGTATACGTGTATGCCTACTCGAGTGCTATTGTGTAAACTTGTAACAGAATATTTGTTTATTTATAACTACTGTTAACCTTTACCGTCATTTAATAATTAGCACCTGTATCAGTTTGACGGCGGTGAAATGTTCGACGCTATGATGCAATACATCACATGCCGACGTAAAATTTCAAGAGTGACTTACCCAATACTTTGATTGGGGTTAGTCCCACACCGACAATTAAATATTATACTGAACGTTCAATTTATTTAAGCCATTTTTCTACTAGTTCGCTTGACCATAGATCTATTCGCCTTGACTGTCACAGTGTCGAAATTACATTGGAGGCGAGGCAACATCGACATTTTTTTCACGAAAAAAAATGCAGTTACAATCACGATCCAGGTGTGAAATACGCATAAAGACGGTTGTGAATCTACATAAAGGTAACAAACACATGGGGCCTGATTCTACAGGCGTCACCCAAATTAGTCTCAATGGTCGAGTCCAGTAGGGGAGACTCGGGCAAAAAGAACCATATGGGCAAAAAGAACCAGCTCAAAATTTTTTTGTTTCAAAATTCCCGCCTCTATCTCCTATTTATTTCTGGCACCGCAATTCTCCAGTGTTTGTTTGGATACCCATACCGGTAAGCTTATTTTTCATGTTTTTACAGCCAATTTAGAAAATGTATCAGTCCTGAATTGTTGATCATGGTTTAAATAGATGGAAATTATTTGAGTATTGTTACAAGTTGAAGCATTAAATTTTGTGGCGATAAATGAAGCTTTGCGTAGATTCTAACCTCACAAATTGTGGCGCTGTTCAAGCGTTTGACATTCATAACGAATAGGTATTTCGTGTTGCATACTTTTTAGGCAAGAAGAACCGGGCAAGAAGAACCGGTTCTATTTGCCCGGCTACTTTTGCCCGCTATTTCGTTGAACATTGATTTTTTTTCAAAATTGAATATTGTTTCAGAATAATGGTTTTCAATTATAAGCGAAAAACAGAGAGAGCCCAAGGATGGGACGAAAATATAATGAATCGCGCAATAAATGCGATTAACCAAAAAGGAACATCTATTCGCGGTGCCGCTCTGCAGTTTCGAATTCCATATCCCACCTTACGAAAACATTTTTTGAAACAGTCTTCCAAAAAACAATTAGGACGGTTTAGACCAGTTTTTTCTGGCGATATGGAACAGCAACTTGTACAACATATTCAAGAAATGGACGCCCGTTTTTATGGGCTCACAAAACAAGACTTATGCAGTTTAGCATTCGAGTTCACAACTCGAAATAATGTGCCACATAATTTTCGTAATGGATCAGCTGGGGAGCAATGGTACTCAAATTTTATGAGGCGACATCCCGAATTAAGCCTTAGAACTCCAGAATCTACAAGCATTGCCCGGGCTTGTGGATTTAACAGGCCACAAGTGCAGTTATTTTTTGATAATCTAAATAACATTCGGCAAAAATATTTATTCGATGTGGACAACATATACAACGTGGACGAGACCGGTATTCAAACGTCTGCAAAGCGGCCACCAAAAGTTATCTCTTTGAAGGGAAAAAAACAAGTGGGCTAAATTTCATCGGCCGAGAGGGAGCAGCTGGTAACCGCCATATGTTGCTGTTTCCCTACTGGAAAATTTATCCCTCCGGCACTCATATTTCCCCGGAAGAAGAGAAATCCAAGATACTTAAATGGCACTCCACCTGGAACTGTAGATTTTGTAAGCGACAATGGTTGGATAACTAGTGAGATCTTCTTAGAATGGATGAAATTTTTTGTAAAATCTGTTAGACCATCTCCAGAACATTTATGTTTACTTATATTAGATAATCATATTTCACATCGATCTTTGGAGGTGTTGGACTATGCTTCTGCAAACAATGTAGTAATCCTTTCTGTTCCTCCACATACCACACAGGAGCAATATTTGGATCTGCTTATTTACAAGGCGCTACTCCTCAAAATGCAATAAGTGGATTCAAAAAGACAGGAATACTCGATGGCAATATTGATGTTTTCAGTGACTTGGATTTTGTTCCTTCTCAAGTCACAGAAAAGGAATATGATGCCAACAAGGCTCAAAACCTTGCCGCTAGTAATGGTCAATCTGCATCTCCAAGTTCACCTATTCCGTCATGTTCGAGGCATGAAGTTGCTGAAGACACACAGCGTAACGTCGAACATCGCACACCTCCTCATTCGCCTATATCCCTCTGCTCTCTTGAAAATGAGAATCATGGGAAAGAGAATCGTTCTTCTCCTATTCCATCGTGCTCCTTCCAATCCACTTACGAAAATTCAAATTATTTTATACCATTAACTGCAATTCAGCCTTTGCCAATAGTTAAACAGGATGATTCTAAAAGAAAACGTAGAACACAGAAGTCAGAAATTTTGACATCTACACCTATTAGAGAAGAGTTGAGAAATCAGAAAAATAAAAAATTACCCAAGACCAAATTGCCAGATGAAATGAAACGTGCAAAGAAACCTAGCAGTTCAAATTTGGATCAACCTAAATTGCAGTACCCGAAGTCACCGGTACATAAAACGGACCCCAATGAAGAAAATGTACCTCGTCTGTGGAGATACGTTTGGCAACTCTAGACCTGGCGAAATATGGATTGAGTGCAATATGTGTCAAAACTGGGCTCATCAATTATGTGCTGATTACAACAGAGGTGTCTATATTTGCGACAAAAGCAAGTTATCAGTTTTGAGTTCTTTGAAATAAAGAATTGTTAATAGAATTCTACTTTTAGTTATGTTTGAAGTAATGTTCTTTTTGCCCATATGTATTTCATATGCTGATTCCTTTTGCCCAAGGCATTGGTTCTTCTTGCCCTCATATGTGGGCAAAAGGAATCAAAAGCAACTTTTGTTTTAATGTTTTTTTAAGATATATTACAATAATTATATATTCGTAACATAATTACATTATGTTTCTAAATGTAATAAGAGTTTTATTGCCCATAAGAAAAATAATAATTAGAATTTAGTAAACGATTTAAAGAGTTGACAACTTAAAGTGGTTCCTTTTGCCCGAGTCTCCCCTATCCAGCAGGGTTGAAAAAAAACATGTTGAAAAAAAATCATGTTTTTTTTATTTAAAACCGTTTTTTTGTTGTTTAAAACATTCAAATTTAGCTGAAAGAAACATGTTTAAAGCATTGTTAATACATGTTTAAAACATTAAAATAATTAAAAAAACTATTGCCTAGATAATCTAATGAAGTTCCTTGAAAGTGTTATTACTATTTTTGATCCAGCTCTATCTGAGCACATTTCTAATTTAAAAGCGGACGTCGTTTACCTTTGGGTAATTTTTCGCGTTGCGATCTCCAGCAGTCAAATATGCGAAGTCATAGCGTGGTATTTTGTTTTTTGTGCATTAAAGATCGGCCAAAAAAGAAAGGCAATGACTGGGAGGAGAAAGGATCCCGTGTGGAAATATTTTAAGGAGGCTGATGCCAAAGCTGGCTCGAAAGTAAATAAAAGAGCAAAATGTTTAACCTGCAATGTGGATATAGTGCCACTGGTGGCTAGAATGCACAAGCATATCAAAATTGTTAACAACTTAAACAAGGAAGTTTTTTAGAAAAACAAAATATTCATATATCAGATAGTTCTGATAGCGACAATGATGATGTTTCTACCGAACCTATTTCCTCAAAGTTGACTAGCTTGGAGAATTGTGAAAAGGTACATTTTTTCACTTGGAGTTCCATAAAAAGTCGTGAAAACTTAAAATTTATTCTATGTACATTTTCCATGATTTTATATTTAAAAAATATGGATTTAAGGATTTTGATTTTTTGTTAAATAAGATGGGTTGTATACTTTTATAGAAATTTGTCAAGTAATTTATTTAATGTTAATATACAAGTAAATACATCGTCATATTATATGATTGTTCTGCTGCTTGTAGAAACATATTTTTTCCACTAGTATTAGTTTCATGTTTGATTACTTGATAAAAAATAAAGTATATTTTTTTGTACCTATGTGTTTTAACCCATGGCCCTTTTAGTTTCGTTTTGCAAAATAATAAAAAAAATCATACCTGAAAAACTATAAAAAAAACTTTTCACTATTTACAAACGACAAAAACAGTGTTTAAAACACTTGTTTTAAACATTTTGATTAAAACATAAAAACCCTGGTATCCAGAGGATGTCGAAATAAGACATCAAAAAGAACCATCTATTACCAGAATCGATCACACCAAGAGTGAAAATAGTAAGCTTTTATACTAAGTGACATAAATCCGAACACCCAGTTTAAATGGTTTTATTTTAATAAAAGTTGGTGAATGTATTTATCTTACTGTAAATAACAAGTGAAAAAATTATCAGCCTTATCAGTTGGACATTCCGGTTTTTATACTGCTTTTTTTAATTCACTAACGCTCTAAAAATGAATATTTCAGCCGCAGTAAAGAATCAACGTTGGCGGATTTTGGTTCTTGACATCCTTTACGATCGGTTACGATGCCTAGAGTACGGAGACCTGTACGATTTCGTCAACTTAGCGAGTTTGATAGGGGCCGTATAGTGGGACTTCGGGAATCTGGACTTTCTTTTCGGGCAATTGCAGTTAGAGTGCAAAGAAGTGTAGACACTGTGGTTAGGTGTTGTCAGGCATGGCTTCGAGAAGGCCGTACGCAAAGAGCAAGGGGCACTGGACGCCGCCGTAGAACAACAGACCGTGAAGATCGCCGCCTAAGATTATTGGCCTTAAGGGACCGTTTCTCCACTACCAGGTCCATTGCAAATGAATGGCTTGCAGAACACGGAAGACCTATTGGCATGCGAAGTGTTTACCGACGAATGAGAAGTTTTGGCTTGTTTTCATACCGGCCACACTGGGTCCTCCCTTTAACTCGGGAACACCGACGTAATCGCCTTGAGTGGTGCAGACAACGGTCACTCTGGGATCAGGAATGGAACAGTATTGTCTTTAGTGACGAGTCTCGATTTTGTTTAGGCATGCACGATGGTCGTGCCAGGGTTAGAAGGCGACGTGGTGAAAGGAGGAATCCACAGTTTTTTGTTGAAAGACATGTGCATCACACTGTTGGAGTTATGGTTTGGGGTGCTATAGCTTATGGTTCCAGGTCACCTTTAATCTTCATCAGAGGTAACATGAACGCGCAGCGTTATATCCACGAAGTTCTAGAACCCCATCTTTTACCCTATCTTGACACCCTGGCAGATCCAACTTTCCAACAAGATAGTGCCTGACCACATGTTGCAAGAGTCTCAATAGACTTCTTTCAACATAATGATGTCACATTGTTACCATGGCCACCAAGATCTCCCGACTTATCCCCAATTGAGTACGTGTGGGATATGATGGGTAGGAGATTGCTCAATTTGCAACGTCCTCCTCAGACTCTAGAAGCACTTCGAGAGGAGTTGGTGGTTGCCTGGAATGAGATACCACAGGAGGACATTGACCACCTGATCAGAAGCATGCCTAGGCGCGTTGGAGAATGCGTAGCACATCAGGGTGCATCCACACATTATTAAAGGTCAAAGGGCTTTAAAGCAGTGCAATCATTTTGAAATTTTTATCATTTACTTATTATGCTTCATTAAGTACTTATACAAAATTTTATTAAAATAAAACCATTTAAACTGGGTGTTCGGATTTATATGTCACTTAGTATATACTTTGAAGTTGAGTCATTAATTTTCAGATAATGATTGTAGAAGGAAGATAAACCAAAATATGTGTGTAAAAATAAAAAAAAATTTTTACCTTGTTTTATAAAGTATCCTCCCGACAAGTATTTCAGTGCGGACCTGTATTTGATCGTGAGGTCTTGGAGCACCGGCATGCCGTCCATATGTGAGGTCTTAAGTCAAATGATTCACGAACCCGTTGTACTACATTAACAAAGGCACGAGGGGTTGGTTACACTCGATTGGGAAACCGATCCGCATAAACATGTGCCATTTTTTATTTCGTTTGAGCCACGCAACAGACACCACTATTCACTACCGACTGACACTGACTGTATACAACTGAATGAAATAATTGTAAAAACATCGTTCCAAATTCTTTCGCTTTTTTGTTTCCGATGCGATGAACCGATAAGGCGAATTATATCCGTTGTCGCCAAACACGAGCACATAATATTATTATTGAGACAGGGCGGTACTCAAACTTCCAAAGGGCTATAACTTTGTTACTTTAATTTTACCAGAAAAATGGTAAAGGAAAAAACAATTCTTTTGATCAGATCTACTCACTGTTAAAATAAATGACTCAACTTCGAAGTTACCCTGTATATTATCAAAATATTCATTGTTAATATTTTAAACCTATAACACCCTTCTACATTATTATTATTATTTGTGTTTGATAAGAAAAAAACTATGATTTCAATAGTTGGGCCAACTGAAGTGGGAAGGGGCTCGTATTACCAGAATCGATCACAGCTAGAGTGAAAATAGCAAGCTTTTAATTGGAACGGTATCCCAGACACTGAATTTTTACTTATTTTAATCGCTATGAAATGCACTCATATGAGGCTGATAATTCACACCACCAGAACACGGAAATTGAACGTTCTGAGATGATCAAACTATAGGATCTGACATAACAACTGATGACTGCACAAACAAATTACGGCTAATTTTTTCGTGAAAATATATAATCAAGTATTCTGCTGATTTTTAAGTAGGTGTGAGGTTGCACATGTGTACCCCATACCGCTATAATAGCTCATAACGAACAAAGCAAACACCGCACCGCAAAGGTGCCAACAGCGCGGCGATAAAAAATCACAAGACAGCCATGAAAATATTGACACGAATACGTTGCTCGAGTGCGCGTCTACCATACGTGTGATTCGAGCCTTTCCACCTACTGGGATGTTGACATAACCTCCATACCGCGAATGAGAAATAAACTGTACTAGAGAGAATTAGCGCCGTTTGTGACAAGTAGGCGGGTACGCATATTTGTTTGTTCGCAATTTTGTTTTCTTGCAGCTTTGTAACTTGTACTTATAGACCGACCTGCAAATGGTCGAACGGCGAACGTTTGTATTTGAATACATGTGGCTGAACGGAATTTTCCACAGTACATCGCATTTTTTCGCGTCGATACCTTTTAATCCTTAATTAATTTATAATGGAACTGGTAATAAAATAAATATAACCATAATTATAGTCGATGTATACTGATGATATCCTTCGCGGGGCGCTTCAATATGGACAGGTCGAGATCAGATGCAGCAAAACAATGATGACTGCTTTTTTTGGTCTCGCTGTGCTTCAAACTCGTTTTTCAATTTGGAATCGCATTATTATTGGCACGCATATATCGCGGACACGTTTATCGTATAATATCCGTATTTTGTACCAGCCATCCTTACTACAGGGAGGTTACTTATACGATGAGTCATTTCATGAGCACGAGATCGTCGAATATACTGTGTGAGTGAGAAACGGGGTGTGCAACCAGTAGGTGTGAAGAGGTGACACTGCCTCCTATTAGTAGTCAGATTTCAATACCGCGTACCGGGTACTCGGTGGTGTTGGCTCTTAGTCTAATCATGCTAGACGAAAATACCGCTGGTTTGTTCAAGGGGGTAT